AGTTCTGATTCCTCTCTTATCTCCCTGGGGTCCATCTTTGGCTGCAAACCTGAGTGCATGAGCACACCAAGTTCACTACTCACCACACCCACTCTGAAGCCTGAGCAGACTGCTGCAGCATCCCCAGGCTGAGGGTGACCACAGGGCAGGATGCTATTTGCTTGTCCAGAGGGCCAAGGGGCCTGCGGGAGTGGTAGGGTGCACACTCCTGACAGCACTCCCTCCACACAGCACCAGCTACCTGGCAGGTCCTGTCTCTTGGTGCCACCACGGGTGCCACTACCAGAAGCTTGGACTTGATTCATCTCTGTATGAATATTCATGCAGCATCCAGCAGACTGTCATTAATATTCCAAGAAAGGGAAAAGAATACCTGTCCTCATTTAATGAGTTAAGAGGGAGGTCAATCTGCAGCTTATGACTACTGCATCTTCCTATGGGCTTCCAAGCTTGTCAAGATGTCCACCCTACCCTCACTCCTGCCCCATCCCACCCTCTGACAGATGACCCCTCAAAGTTCCTGCCTGCCTTACTGGCCATGCCTTCCTGATCAATCCAGCTCTCTCCTTCAGCTTCAGACCGGCCTCACCCCATCCTTTCTTTCTAGCTTTCTCTGTAACTCCAGCCCAAAGCCTCGACTTTTTCCCAACCTGCCTGGGAGTGCTTACCTACACCCCTGGTCCCATTGTAACAAGACACCAAGGGCCGTGTACCAACTCAGCAAGCTTGTTTATAGGCCCGAGTTCTCAAGTAGCTGACACAGCCTTGCCCCTAGACCTGGTCAGTGGTTCACACAGACTCCCCTGTCCTTCCCAGGGTCCACAGTTAGATACAACCCCAGGCTCGAGTAACATCAGCTATAAGCCAGACCTCCAGAGAAGAGGGTATCTGCTTTATTCCCTGCTGTTCCTGTTGATCCAGGCGCTCCCGAGGACCCAGGCTCTAGAGGGCTTGGGCTGGCTCAGGATGGGACTTGGCTTAGCTATAACCCCTGTCCTGGGAGATGGTCACAGCTGGCCCCACCAGAGATAGATGAGAACTCTGTCCTAGACCTTGGCTTATGGGAAGACTGGTCATATCTGGGGAGTAGCTGCTGTTTCTTTGGGATGAGATTTCCTAGGGCTGACAGTATCAGAGTCCTCAAAGCAGAGCTCGGCAGCACCACAACCCGTGCCTCCTGCTTGGGTCCACGGCACCCTCCTATGGCTGCTCTCCTGCAGGAGACTAGAAAAGCAGTGCGGGAGTTGGTGGGGTGGGGGGGTTGGGGATGGGGTGGGGTAGCTGGCCAGGCTGAGAAGGGTCACCTGGCAGCCTGAGCCCTTCAGTCTGCCACCCCGGCCCCAGGCGCAGTGCGGGCCACACAACTTTGCCTGAGGCCCCATGTGACACAGCTGCCAACAGGCCTGGGCAAGCAGCCTGGCGGGGTGGGGGAGGGGCACTGGGCCCCAGATCGCTGAATCAGCTGCTCTGGACCATCCCTGCCTGGGCAAGGCTGCTGCTGGGGGGCAGGTCCCTCTTTTGGGAACTGTTGGGGAGGCAAGCCAGAATGCTGGGATTTCCGGAAAATCTTCCCTGCTTGCTTCTGCCTGGGACTGCTGTTTCCTGAGAGCTAGTGCCTCTAGGGGAGGGAAGGCTTCCTAGGAGGGCCGGGCATAAGGGGACCCTTCTTTCTAAACAAGACCAAAAACGGATAAGAGAAAGGCACCCTGCCGCTGTGGATCTAGCACGTTTTTTGTCCCCAGAAAACGCTGAATCAGCATGTGAAGGCGCCGCCGCTCCCTCCCTTCCCCCTCACACGCTGGCAGGGACTGGGCCTTCCCAAGGTCAGGGGACATCAATAACCGCAGCTGAGTCTGTGGCGGCACAGGTCTGTGCTCTGGGTTGCCCCTGCCATCCTTGGGAATAGGGACCATCTGGCTCTCTTCCTCACACTACCCTGGGAAGGTCACAGGCACTGTGTTTGTGGCTCCACCAGAGACTGCAGAAGCTGCTACTTGGTACAGGGGCAGCAAATGGGTGTTAAGAGCCGCTAGTCCATCCCAAGCCTGGGGCCCTGGAGCACCTGCCTTCTCATTTCTACAAATCCCCAGCGCGGCGCCCTTCTTGTCACCAGCCCTCTGCTAGCTCTTTAGCTCTGATCCCATTTGTGACTGAGAATACATATTTTCTCCCCAGGGTTGTAGGTAATAAAAGTGCCGCTGCTCTGCACCTCACATGGGTAGACAGGACTGGCTTCAGGCTTTCTTTCCATCTGTGCTTCCTACAGCTGGCTGAGCCCGCTCATCTCCACTCCTTTGGCCCTAGCTCCCAGCCATCTTGTCTAGAGACAAGTCCCAGGTCTTCATAGGCACAGTCCTCTCTCCTTAGATGCCCCTTTCTCGTGGTGCTGAGGTGTAGACTCATCCTCCAGGAAGACCCAAAACCCAGCTCCTGTCTCTCAAATTAACACCTAGCCCCAGACACTGCTCCCTAAGTGCTCTTCCTTGGTCTCCTGAGCCAGCTCTAGCTGGGCAGCTCTGCAAACCTCAAAACTGTCCTAGCAGGCGGCTGGATTCCTATCCACTCCTCCCTCCCATCCCTTGGGTAGCAGCAGCCCCTTGCCTTCCCTTCCTCACAAAGTCAGTTCACAAGGCTAGCATGAAAGCTGTCCCTGTCGCCTTTTCTACCTCATGGCATCAGGGGCCTAGGGTACAGCAGCTGACCAGATGGGTGGCTTTATTACTGCTGATCCTGTTTCAGATCCAGCCACTGAGGACTTCTGTCGGCAGGTCCATCCTGTCTGTGTCCAGGTCTGGCCCTATTATCTCCCTTGCCCTTGACTTCCCCTGCCCTGCCTTCAGCAGGCAACTCATTCCCATTTTTATATTCTTATGTGCTGCCTAAATAAACAAACAAATCTACCTGAAACAAGGCATTTTAGCAGAATGCCCCAGCCTGGGGAGTAGTTCTAAAGTGTCTCGATACCCTGCAGAGACACAGTTACTACTGTTGTTTCTTGAGCTATGCAAATGGATGGCTTCAAAATGCTGCCTTACCCAGGACCTAGATCACTGCCTGGCTTACATGTCTGCCACAGAGGGCAATCTCCAGCCTTCCTCAGACAGGCTGCAGCCCTAGGTACAACTCAAAATGTCACCTAGAGCCACAAGCGTAACACACTAAAAAAACAGTGCTAATGTCCAATGTAACCCACAAACTCAGTCCTGCTGATGAGAGAAGCCAGGAGTTGCTTCACAACCCCCCAGTATCAGAAGGGCTCTTGGTTATCAGGAGGAGCTAGCTCAACCAGGGTCTTCTAAGGCCTTGTGACACTGCTAGGAAGCCATAGCTTCTAGAGCACAGAAGAGGTCAGTAACCTTAGTGCACAACTCCTGGTCCTCAGCTTTTTTGAGTCTGAGCAGCTTGTTCTCCAGAGCCATGTTCCTTGTGCTCAGTGACCTCTCAGTCTGGAGGCTCCACTGGGCAGTTAGGATGGCATCTACCCAAAGAAGGTGTTAAATCTTGGTTTCTTGCTCTTCCCAGCCAAGGGACAATGGAAGACACTTCAGGTCTTTGGAAGCCAACTGTCTATTGCATATTCAGCTCTGGGTTCCATCCTCAACACTGTAAAATGAACCAACCAACCAACCAACCAACCCAGCCACTCACTACTTCAGACCCATAGAAAACAAAGCAGTCTAGGGAAGTTTCTGGAAAGTACATGTTGTCTCCTCAGGCATGATCAGTGGCTTAGAGCGCCATGCGTTACTGTCACTGCATAACCACCCTCATCATGCCTATCTGTTATTGAGCCCAGCTTTGGATTCTTGGATAAGTGTGCTAACCTCCCCCCAACCCCTTCTCCTCGGGACCTGAGCTGACTGGGGCAAAGGATTTTGCAGTTTACTCTTAGCAAAAACTAAAATTTGAGTGGGGCCTGCTGGTTCATTCCTTTAATTCCAGGAGGCAGAGACAGGTGGATCGCTATGAATTTGAGGCCAGCCTGGCCTGAACAACCTAGGCACATAGTGAAACCCTATCTCAAAAACAAAACAAACTCAGTGCTGGAGAGATGGCTCATTAGTTAAGAGTACTGACTATTCTTCCAGAGGACCTTGGGTTGGTTCTTAGCACCACATGGTTGTTTACAACCAGCCATCTATGACTCCGGTCCTAAAGTGACTGTTGTCTTCAGGCCTTTGTGGATACTAAGTCACACATGGCACCCATACATTCAGGAAAAAACACATATTCAAAACAAAAATAAACCATCTTTTAAAATACATAGACAGACAGACAGGGACCCAACAAACCTCAAGCTGGATATGGTGACTCATGCTGGTAATCACAGCAGCCTGAACAAGTTAGTGAGACCCTATCCCCTTCCTCAAAATCCCTGTAACAGGGCTGAAGAGATGGCTCAACAAATAAGAGCACTGGCTGCTCTTCCAGAGGGTCTCCATTTTACATGGTGGCTCACAACTGTTTAACCCAGTCCCATAGACTCTAATACTTTCTTCTGGGCTCCATGGGTACCAGGCATGCAAAAGGTGCACAGACATATATGTAGGCCAAACACCCATACACACGAAATAGAATTATAAAAAAAAATCCCTCAGTAACACAACCCACAAACACACTTAAAAAAGAAACCTGGCTTCCTGTTTCTCCCAGCATGCAGACATTGCATCTTCAAGTGTACACAGCACCCTCAAGCTGCTCCCATCCTTTCTGGAAAGCACCAGAAATCCAGCCCTCACTTTTATTGACCAACTCAACTCTAGGTCCTTGGCAGACCACTTAACTGTAGAACCACTGGTTTTGAGGCTTCAACACTCAGCATTAAAATTTACTGCTTTCAAAACTCAATTCTATAGGGAACAGTTTCTATGACATTGTAAATGACATCTTTTGAAAAGGATAAGATTTCCGGCTTCACAAAGACACCAGTACTGTCCCCACACACTTGTCCAACATGTGTGAGCCTCCAGCACAGCAAAACTTAAGCAATCACTCCATCAGCACATTAAAAAAATAGGTTTAATGCAGGTGATTGATTCATCTCATCAAGAATTTAACAGGCACTCAGGGCACTGGGCAGCTGGGTGTGCAATGAGTGACAAGGTCCCATCATCCATCCCACAACCAGCCCTGACACACCCACCATCACCCAGAAAAATGGGGTTTCAGGCCACTCTGAGGAACACGAGCTGATTAACAAAGAACAATGTTGCTCTGGGGGAGAGTGGGATTTAGTGCAAACAATTCTCTGCAGCAAGCAAACAGCAGCAGGGTCCACTGGGAAGGCACCTCATCTGCTATCCTGGGAGGCAGACAGACTTCCTCCATGAGCCCTCTTGCTAGACCAATGGCGACAGCTGGCTACAAGTTAAAAAGCTAGGTCAATGGTCCTACCTCTTTGTTCTCTGTTTGTGTTTCTTATGTTTCTCATCAATGGAATACAATTGGTTTTCTTGGCAGGGTAAAGTCAAAGGAGGCAACCCCATGCCCAGAGTGTGGGGTGACAATCTGGGGTGAAGCATGTGTTAGCAGGATATGCTCACTGTCCTGCCCCTGGAATTACTACTGAAACCACTTCACTTGCCACCCAGGTCCTTGTCACCAGTGAGAGCCATATCCTACCCCTGACAGAGGCCAAAGGTGCTCAGGTGCTCCGTCTTTTATCTCACAAATCAGGCCTAACAGCATGTGGGAAAGGTGCAGCTAGCCCATCCAGGCGGCCCATGGGGCTGGTAAATACCATTGAAGGAGTACAGTTTGCTCCTGTTTTCCACGGGTCTGGCCAAGACTCTGGGAGGCTGCTGGAGGGCTCATCCCTCAGAGACAGTAAAGCAGTGTTAAGCAGAAGTGTTGTTCTAGGCTCTTTCAGTTTGTAGAGCTCCAGCCTGGCTTGACACACAGACCTGCCCGGGGTGTGGACCAGCCCCTGCTCTGGAGGCCAAGCCTTGGTGCCTGTGCTCCCAGGGACCGGCCAATCCCGTACATGCTGTCCTGCTAGACTGCATCTATGCAAACCACGGTGACTCTGTGGCCTGACTCGGGGTTCAAGACTGACATGGCCACTTGTGACAGTAGAGAGTGGTCCATGAGCTTAGGACCACTCAAAGTGGGAGCAGTTAGTGGCAGTAGTGTGTCTGCTTGTATAGCCAGATGAGTCCCTGAGGCTACAGCCAGGACAGGGTACATAAAGAGGCTGTGCAGGACAAACACACCCCTTCGTGTCCCACTGGTTGGGCCTGGTGTTGGTGAGAATGTCACACAGAAGGTCTCAAAGGTGCAGAAGAGACATGGGCCACCCACTGGACAACCTGAAAACATACAGGCAACCCAAGGCAAGAGGCTAAAGGGGATATCACATCTGGGAAAGTACACAGGAAGGAAGGATAGCACAGAAGCCAACAGGGAGACGGCGTGGTATCCCCTTACAGAGCAGTCTCAGCCCTTTTCTTCCCTCAACGGAAGTGTGTGCTTCAGGCCTTACCTCTGGGATGGGGGAGAAAAAAAAAAAGCCCCTACCAGCCCCACCCTCCAAGGAAAGAAGCTTGATATGGCCCAATCAAGAGCCCCATGGAGCCCGGGCCCTCACATGTCCACAAAGACCATGAAGCACCAGCCCAGCCCGCCGACCAGCAGCATGGTCACATGGATGCCGTAGATGAGCAGCTCGTTCATGAGGCGGAAGTCCACACGCCTGCGCCCCAGCAGCAGCAGCAGCACTGACAGCTTGAGCTGGAAGCGCAGCAGCACACGCACACCCAGGTACTGCAGGCAGAAGAGCGCCGCCAGTGCGCCCCAGAGAGCCGCTGTGAACAGGCTGCAGCTGAAGTAGAGCAGGAAGCGGATAAAGCCGTAGAGCCATCGGGTCTTGACATACACATCGAAGTTGTTGTACTTGGTGCGAGCCAGGTGAGAGGCTCTCACTGGTCCACAGGCTGCGTGCAGGCAGGTGGTGTGTGGGCCGTGGAAGGAGCGCACCCGCCGCGGGATGGGCATGACCGGCATCGGGCCCGGGCGGCAGTGCTATTTTACAGTGGTGGTGCAGTGTCCAGGTGGCTAGCATAGGTACCATCAGCATCTAGGAGCCCTCAGCTGAGCCTTGGGGGAGGTGTTGGCCTGCAGGAAGAGATACAAGGAGAGTGCCAGGTGAGACTTCCTCAAGGCTGTCCCTGTCTGTAAATCAGTTGCATCCCAAGATTATCCCCTTACTCTTTTCATATGTCCACAACCTGTGCAGGCCAAAGGTTAGCATTCTACCTGACTGTGCTGAGAAAGGAAAGCAACAGTGTCCCTCTCAGCAGCGGCTGGCCAGAGAGGGTCCCCTCTAAGGGCTGCCAGCGACAGAACGGGGACAGTAGAGCTCTAGCTAAGCCCACTCCTTACAGCTTCTTGAAGACCCCATGCACTCCGCTCCTGGCCCATTACTCCACAGTACTTCCACAGTGATTTATCTAATGACAACCTCCTTCAAGGACACTCCATGCAGAATCACAGAAGGATTGAGATGAAGACCCACATTGCAAGACCCTGAGGTTACTTGCTGGGCCTGACTCTGGCATTATTTTGGCAGATTACCACCTCACCTCCCACTGCTCTCGTTCTGTAAATGGAGGCACCAAGACCTCTTCCCTGGGGGCTGCATGTACACAGAAGCATTGCTGGCTTGTCTAGGATGGGCATAGTGCCAGAGTTCTCCAAACTGAGACACAAAGAGAGGAGAAATGGCGTGTGGTTCCTTGTTTCACCAAGCAAATGTCATTTGCAGCTGCCTATGTTAATTTGCAGATGGGAAAAAACCCTAAATTTCAAACTATACGACACTAGAGGCCAAAAGTTGGTAACAGGATAGGGTAACATCGCCAACAGGGTTTTGTGATTTCCACTCCATCAGCTTCCTTCACCGCCGCAGGTCCCGAGCAAATGGCCGCCAGTGCAGCTGGCCGAGACGCAATGGGAGGAAACCTGTCCGGAGTCAGGGAGGTTTAGCAGTTTTACCCAGCTAGACAGGGCAATGGCCCTCATTCAGGCGTGTCACTGGACACCGCACAGGAGGGGTTTGCATTCTGCAGCAGCTGTACTAGGGTGGAGGTGCAGGCCATGGGGCGGCCCGGCACCGGGGCACGCGTCTCTGCGCACAGGACCCCAGAGTAGGAGGTCCAGCTCTCCAGGGCCCACTAACTCGGCGCGTGCAGAGACGGCCCTCACAAGCCCGTCCCCGGGATACGCGCGACCCCGGCCCTCAGCACGCGTTCTCGGCGGGCGCCACTTCCGGTGTCGGGGCGCCGTTGCCGTGGAGACGGCCCTCAGGTCCACGGCCGGTACCCGCCCGTCCTCGGCCGCTCACCCGGTGCCCTCTCCGTGGCGGTGCCGGTGTCCGGAACCATGCGGCAGGCCGACGGCGCTGGGGACCAGGCCTGCGGTTGAGCTTGTGCCCCGGGGGTGCGACGCCAGGGCGGGCACATGCCGCCGAAGATGGGGTCGCTTCGCGCGGCCCTTCAGTTGCCCCGGGCTGGCTCTGGCCCGGAGGAGAAGGCGCGCCCGGGCCGGGCCGGAGGCGTTTGTCCCAGCGTGGGAGCCGTAGTGTCGTCCCTCGGCGGCCACCGTAGCGCGGTCTTCACGCCCCCTCCGCCCGCGCCGCCGACACGGTGAAGCCTCGCAGCGCCCGCCGCGGGCTCGCGCGGAACGTCCAGGAATTCAACACTATCAGAGGACGCGCGCTCGTGTGCGCGCGCCGCGAGCCGTTTATGACGTCACGGCCCGCGGCCTCCTGCGCAGGCGCAGATGGGGGATCCAAGGGCGCCTAGGCTGGTCGCCTCCGTGTCACTGCGCGTGCGCGCGTGTGGGAGGGGCTTTCTCTCTCAGGTGTGAGCTAGTTGTCGCCTTTCTGGTGGTGCGGTGGAGCTCCGTTCTCTTGTGTGCCAACGAGCGCCGCTGGCACCCAGAGAGCAGAGACGGTTGCAGATGAAGCGATCTAGGGCTTTAGGGGTACTCTCTGTGGAGCACAAGGATCCTGGAAGCGCCAAAAGAAAGAGTTAAGCTGGTGTGTCACCGGCCTAAATGACCTTGCCTGGGTCCTACAAGCAGATGCCGTGGGTTTCAGCTAAAAGTTGATGTGTGCGTTTGTTGTTAGGGTGTGGAGGGAAGGTAGGGTCAGACCATCATCCCATGAAGGACCAGAAAATAGCTTTACGGGTTATCCCACATTGACTCTCCTGCTTACCGACGCCCAGGCGTCAAGTGCAAGTGGTACCCACTCCCCAAGGAAGGGAAATGAAAGTGCAGAAAAGGCACCTTTGCTCTCCACAGAGAACACTTGGAGACCCCAGCCTACTCGAGACCAAGAGAAGCTGCAAGTTGTGGCTTGTGCACCTCCTGCCTGTACCGCCCACAGATAAATGAATGCATGTAAAAATAAGTGAATTTTGTCATACACTCCTTTAATCCCAGCACTCAGGAGGCAGAAGCAGGCAGATCTCTAAGTTCTATGCCAGCCAGGTCTACTTAGAGTATGTCAAACAAACATCTTGGTTCAGTGAGATGGCTTTGTGGGTAAAGGCACTTGCCACCAAATTGACAATCTGAGTTCCATCCTTGGTACCCACATAGGTACTAAGGCACATAGGTGAAAATCGATGCCCTCATGTTGCCTTCTGACGTTCACACACACACACACACACACCATGCGCACAGAAGTAATGCTTACAATAAGTCTTCTTAGTTGATAGGAAGTCAACTGGAGCCCCTGAACTATGTGACCCTGTCTCAAAACAAAAAGAAACATTCTCATCCTGGTGTGAGTTTCTGTCACCCTGGAGTAAGGATCTGTTTTCTTCACTCTCCCCTCCTTGGTACCATGACACATTCCAGGGCAAAGTCTTGTTTCTCTACCTTTTCTGTCCCTCTGTCCTCTTGTCCTCTTCCACTTGCTCAGCCATGTTCCTCCTGTAAGACCCACCCCTCAGTCCTCTTCACCTCTGACTATCTCTCTCTCTCTCTCTCTCTCTCTCTCTCTCTGAGGTTGGGCAGGTAGCTGCTGCTGACTGCTGCTGGTCTCACTCTTGTTCAGAGTCCTCTAATCTCAGATCACTGAATATAGACTGAAAGCACTCAGAACGTCTCACTAAAGGATGCTTCCTGTTACCTCCACTCTTGCTTTGTTACTTCTTGGAAGTGTAGGGTACCACCATGGAACTGATTCCAGAATCCTCTGAGGACCTGAAGCCTAACCACAGCAGGGTCATCCCCAAGGATAGGACTGAGTCCCAGTTGTTCTGTTTGCTGCAGGCCAGTCCTACCATAGAAAGTCAACCTGAAGTCTCTGTCAGCTTCCACTCTGTCTGTGCTGGGCTTCCCTGTGGGCAAGTGCTGGACTGTGGCCTGGCGCCACCTGCTGGGACAGTGCAAGTGGTGTCCTAGGACTCTTAAAGATGTTATAATCCAAACCCAGGCATGGGGCCCAGGGGACTAAGGCTCATCTGTGTCTGTGGCTCCTTTGGTGTCATCTTTACAGAGCAGTCAAAGCTGGGTAGTATCAGGGACCCAGTGGTCCTCTTGCTGTCTGCACTGGCTGAGAGTGAATGCAACCCTTACTTGAAGTAATGTTGTCCTCACTTTGAGCTTCTCCTGTGATCAGAGTGAGGAGACAGGCTATCTGAATTCATATGAAGTGCTTCAAGGACAACACCTTACCCTCCATTTTACTGTCAAGGCGCGAGATTTTTCTTAAGTTGGGCTTGACTCCAAAATTAAGATAATTACTATGTGGATATTTGCTATGTGGCATGTGTGTCCTTCCACGTCGCCTTCACATCAGCTACATGATGTTACAACACATCATGTTGTAACATGCTGTAACAGGTGTCACTCGTCAACTCTGCACGCTATATAGCCCACTGTTTATTGGTGGCCCATTCCTTACTGGCCCTTGGTGACAGAATTTCAACCTCTTGAGACAGTGATAGTTCTTGATAAAATCCCCTGGTCTCTTGTATCCCCGACACAATTACTCCTTTACCCCAGAAGTCCAAGAAAGATGCCCTTCTCAGGCTGCGGTCATGGTAGAAATGGCAGATGTTTGCCAGGAGGTGGTGGTGCATACCTTTAATCTCAGCACTCCAGAGGCAAAGACAGGCAGATCTTTGAGTACGAGGCCAGCCTGGTCTACAGGATGAATTCTAGGACAACCAGAGCTACATAGAGAAACCCTGTCTTGAAACATCAAAAAACAAAAAAATGATGCTGAGCTTCCCGCCTGCACTGTGTCCCAGCCACCAATTCTAGCCAAGGGTGAAGTCTCAGCCTCCCTGAGTCTTAGTTTTCTTGTCTGTAAAGTGGGGAAGCAATACACAAGCCCTCACAGAAAGTCATGGACCTAGCTTTGCTGGTTCAGTAGAGCTGGCAAAAGATGGCCTGGCCACAGCAAGGCTCATCTTTCACTGTTGCTCCAGAGGCAGCACTAGGATAGCCCTGTGTGGTCCCCTCCGTGAGGACCACTACTCCGTACTGCCCAGAGCTGAGTGACTTAGGAGGCCAGGTCACAGTGCTCATTGTGGTACCCTCCCTGTCCTCACAGATCTCTCCCAGGAACTGGAGGGATGGCATAACAGCTGACCGTTGCCACCTTGAGCCCTGTAGGGAGGAACCAAAGGCGTCTGGCCAGCAGCCAATGACAGCTTGCTCTCTGCAGTGAGATGACCCAGAAACACTGCCAACCTGGGAACACTGCAAGTCCTTTCTCCAGTTGACAGTCCAAACATCCTTTCTGCAGCTTGCAAAAGAAACTCCAGGACATATTTCAGCCCCACCTTGCCCCAGCTCCTGGCTTGTAGAACTGGGAGGGAGAGAGTACCCGTGAGATGAATTATGTTCTGCACATCTGTATGTTAAAGCCTAACCCTTAGGGCCTTGGCATGTAACTATTTGGAGACTAAGGCCTTGAAAGAGGTCAGTACTGTAAAATGGAGTCTCTTTGATGATAGGCCCTAATCCAGGATGACTGGAGATCATGCTACAGACAAACATACAGAGGAACACGCATGTGTGTGTGTGTGCGCGCACACACACACACACACACACACACACACACATACGCGTACACAGGAGGGATGGGCAGATGAAGTGAAGGCTGGGATGGGAGGCAATGGATACTTGCTGTGTAAGCTGCCTATCTGCCTATCTCTAGGCATTTGTTACAGCAAGAGGTGTAGATTAGTCCATTCCCCACTCCTCTTCTTTTTTTTTTTTAATTTATTTTTTATTTTGGTGGCACTAAGGGTTCAACCAGAGTTAAGCATTCTGGGCCAGTACTCTGCTCTTGTTGTATTCCAGTGAAGTCCACCACTCTCTGTGTGATGCCATTGACCTCAGACAAGGAACATTCTGAGCTATAGGCCACACAGGCCAATAGACTCCACAGGGCATCCTCTTCCTGGGTACACACTAGCCACCCTTGTTCCCCCAGGTAAGGAGGGCATGTGGTCCCAACATCCTCTGTTTGTCCCTCAGTACCTTCGCCTCTCAAGTACCTCATCATTCAAAGTCTTCACACACTGTCCGAGCCACCACCACCCTGCACTTTAGTCACCCTGTGAGTTACTCTCCCAGCTACATTGCTGGGAGCCTCAAGCGAGGGGCTTGTGGGCCAAGGCTGCCTCTGCTCTCTGCTCTGCTCCGGTGTGAACATGCATGGAACAGGCTCGTTCCTGTCTGTGGCTGTTTGGTACCATCCTGACAGCATTCAGAGCTGGGTATCTGTGTCAGGAACCCAGTGGCTGTCTTGCTATCTGCACCATCTGAGAACAGGATCAGTCATCCTTTGAGACGAGTGTCTTTCTCACTTTGTGTTTCTCTCTTCTATGATTTGAGTAAGGAGATAGGCCACATTAATCTTTATAAACTACTTCAAGGAAAACAGCTTAGCCTCCATTTTACTGACAAGGACAGAGCTTGACTCCAAAATGCAGGACTAACCCACATCTTGTGGAGATTTGCTTTGCACCATGTGTACCCTTTTACATACTTGCCTTGTGAAGAACATTCAAGATAGAGGTTGGAGGGTAATAGGACTCAGGCTTGCAAGGCCCAAGGGCCTCAAGATGCATTAACCTGCCCAGGTCCCACCACACAGGAGGACAAAGACTGCCTTGGATGCTGAGGAAACACCCGGACATGCCTCTGGATGCTTTGTGAGGGGCATGAGGAACCACCAGGGTGGCTGAACCACACTTACAGAGCCACACTGGTCTGAAATACCCCCTGCCCTCTCACAGGTAAAGTGCTTCACTTTCCTGAATCTGAGTTGGTAGACCTTGCAGTACCCTAAATGATTTAATGACAGAGAAACCTTAACCCTTAGTCAAGGCCTAACGCAGAATAAACGCTCAGTAAACATTGCCATCAGAACAGGGGGAAATGCTCCTTGGCCTTTGGAGGTAGGAGACCCCAGCACAGGAAGACAGAGGCACCATGTTTTCTTCAAGGCCAGAGGCTCTTAGCTGGTGGTGGGCATGCCCTTTGAACTACCTAGCCCAGACCTCAACAGGATCAGAGAAGCTGTGCTCAGGCTTAGTCTTCCCCAGGTCCCAGTCCTGTGCTAATCTCACTGTAGACTTAACTGTTGGTTGAATGGTTTCTTGTCAACAGCAGTAAGGATTTGTGACCAATCTTATCTTTGCTCTGGAGCGTGGGTG